TACTTGTGAGCTATTATTTATGGATAATTTATATTACATTGGTATAATTTTTGTATATTAATACAAGTTCAAATTATATTTGTTAGTTTTGTTAACATTATTTATACACCTATGCAAAGTTATTCTGTCAAATTGTATATATACCTCTGTTTAGGACATTTTTATATGTTGATACAACTTTTAGAATATACTTTCATATTGCATTATATATTACTCATACCTCTGCTCAAGATACTTATAGATTGTTTACATTTTGAGGTCATTTTCCTCATTTGTTGCACATTTGTTTACAGATTTTTTAATGTTCTGACATGAAGTTTTAGTCTTTAAGTTATACAGGTATTAATTACTCTAGGTCAATAGTTGTTCATGTTTGTTGTACATACAGTCAGATCAATTAGATTCTTTAGCTACATAGTGATTGTATTCTGTCTATATAGGTAATCTTCAACCACTTCAAGGATTTAAATAACTTAGACATTTAAATAACTTAGGGTTCTGTTGACATGAGACATGATTGCTTCTGACAGCACTAATCTATTCCCAAGAAAATGTTGAGCACTGAAGACACTCCACTCAGAGTTTGTTTTATTCTTGGCAAAACTGGCCTTTGGGTAAGGAACTGCCCATGCTTCAACCACTGACAAGGTACATGGTATCCAGAAATGGATAAGCAAGACTGTCAAATCTTGCCAAGACATGATAAGATGGTTTTGAATAAATTCCTGTCTCTGAAAATGATCTGTCAGTTATGCTAGGCCTTAGCCAAAGTTGGTTGCTTCAACATTGCAAAGTGAGACTTTGGGTGATTGCTCAGGTAGCTAATTGTCTCCATCACATATTGCTTGCTTTGGAAGCTACTTGATTGTATTTCCTGCCTGCTCAAGTAATATTATCTTCCTTCTCAGGTCTTCAATGGGTTGAATATTAGATAGTCATAGTTACTGTATGCTTATGCTCTGGCTAAGCCATTTCCTATACAAGTTAGAATAGATAGGATAGAATGTTTATTGAAACATTTAGCATATGTTCCTTGCTTAATATTGTTTGTGCTGGTTGTAATTCTAATTAAACTTATATCTGTTCCTAGTGTTTTGTATTGGGTTTGGAACTCTCTTATTTAAACAAAAGGGGGAGGTGCTGTGGGAGGACATTCTGCCCCTTCAGCCTTTAAGATACCAGCCCACTTGGGCATTGGTCTCTTATACTGTAAAAGCAGCGGTAAATGTGTGCCCACTCTCTTGCCTCTGGCTCCTGCTTCCGGCTGCTAGACTCTGTTCCTATTCATTCAGAAGACTGTCATCTAGGACTGTAATATGTAAATTTTCCCTTTAAATAAATAACCTTTTTATTATTCATAATTCTGAACTTGTGTGGGATTGTTTTGTGACTTATGTCATCAATGAACAGCAATATGCAAGTGTAAGCTGAAATAAACCCTTTCTTCCCACACTTGCTTTTTGGTCATGGTGTTTTAACAAAGCAATAAAAACCTAATGAAAACAGTTTCCAAAGTGATTAGTTCTAAAATGTCTGCTTCTGCCACCTTCCACCCTTCCCTCCACCACTTATCCTTTCTTCCTTCTTCCTTTTTTCCTCTTCTTCCTTCTTCTTCTTTCTTCCTTCTCCTCCATCCTCCTTCCTTCTTCTTTCTCTTCTTTCTTCTTTTTCCAAGACAGGATTTCTCACAGCCATGGCTGTCTTGGAAGTCACTATTTAGGCCAGGCTGCCCTAGAACTTGGTTTGTAGACCAGAATGGCATCTAACTCACAGAGATCCACCTGTCTCTACCTCCCTGGTGCAGGGGACTAAAGGCATACACCACCACCTGGCCTTTTTTTAAATCTATCTTTCTGTCTGTCTGTCTGTCTAGTTTTTTGAAGTAGTGTCTCATTTTACACTGAAGTGCAGGCTAGCCTGGAACTCAGTGTATAGCATCTTAGGCTTGTCTGGAACTCACAATGTCACTTCTGCTTCAGCCTTCCTAATTGACAAGATTATAGTTGTGAGCCATCATGTGTGCATGGCACACTCTCTCTTTGAACCTCTCTTCCCTGCCATTCCCTCCCTCCCTTACTCTCTCTGTAGCCCCTGTTGTCTTCAAATTAGCAAGCTTAATGCCTTAGCTTCTTTAAAAGGACAAGAAAGAGGTTAAGGAGACAGTGGCTAATTGAATGAGGTGGCTCAGGCCTGTAACCCCAGCTTTCAGGAGGCTGAAGCAGGAGGATTTCCATAAATTCAGTATAGACTGGCTATAAGATGAGAAATTGTCTCAAAAAACAAAAGAAAGCAAAACAAACGGTGACTAACAGTGCTTAAATATAGCTAATAGGGCCTCAAATTTAGGGTAGTCTGACTATAGGACACACAGTGCCAGCAGGGCTTAAATGGGCCAACAGAAAGATGAAGCCTACACCTTCCAATGACTCATCCACCAAATGCCCTTCTATACAGTTGTTATTGAACATTAAAAAATGGTATTTTTTCCATTTAGCTAATAAAAATAAATTTCACTATATAATACAGAACTATTTTGTTTGGTATGGGCTAGAACCTCTACAAGATTGTTTTCACTGAATTATTGCAGAGGCAACCTTTTATACTGCTATTTTGGTTTATGAACTTCAGAAGTATGAATTCAATTATTGAAAGAAAGATTAACTAAGAAAGTGGCACATCATTTATAGGCACAGAGGTTCATAAAAAATAAGTGAGCCTCAGATTGATTATTAGACTCAGGGACATATGATTACTTAATGAAAGATGTTGTGAAGCTGGCCACTGTTTCGTACCTGTGAATCCCAGCTATTCAGGAATCTGAGGTAAGAGAATAGTAAATTCAGAACAGCTTGGTTACCATAAAGGTAGGAAAAGGAATTGGAGGAGGAGAAAGAGAAGATGGAGGGGGTAGGCAGGAAAGAGGAATACACACATAGGCAGAGAGAGAGGGGGTGCGACGGAGGGGATGGAAGTGGAGGGGAGATGGGAGGAGAGGAGAGAGAGACTACAAGGAACATTAGATTTTGGAACATTCCTAGGAAATATTTCCGGAGAAATAATGCAAGACACAGACTATTTTGGTAGTGTCTGTGTACACTTCACTTGTCAACTTGACACAGTCCAGAGAAGTCTTTCTCAACCTTTTGAATGCTTTCACCTTTAACAAGGTTCCTCACGTGGTGACCCCCCCCCCCAAAGGGTTGTAACCTATAGGTTGAGAAAGGCTGGTTTAGCATTACCTTAGAAGGGAATCTCTGTTGAAACGTTGCCCAGATTAGATTGACCTGTAGTACCTGTAGTTACAACTGTAGAGGGGTTGTCTTGATTGTTAATTGATGGAGAAGGGCCCAGACCACTGTGGGCTTCTCCATTCCTTGGGTAAGTAGGAGGTTCTGAACTTCATAAGAAAGCTAAGCCTGAGCTAGTGTGCCAGCAAGCAGCATTCCTTCATGGTTTCCTCTATACTGTCTTGACACTGAGTTCCTTGGTCAGAGGTAGTGGTGTGTAAAACAGCAGGCAGGTCTTCTTGGGTTTCTGCCTCAACTCACCTTGAGGATAGATTGTCATCTGAGAGTGCAAGCCAAATAAACGTTCTCCTCCCCTTCATGGATTTGATCAGTGTTTTATCACAGCAACAGAATGAACCCAGAAGTCTGTTTATGCAGGGTCATCTCCATGGACTGGCCTCAGGTGCCGGGAGTTGCTCTTGCTGGGTTTGGGAATATTGCACAAGAGCAAGTCAACAGCCCACTTTTAAGTAGATCCAGAGTAGGGAAGATGACTTGATTTTTATTACCCTCCACTCAAAATACTCCACTGAATATTTTAGGTGATTTATTTTGATTCTTAGAGGATATTTAATTTTTTTAAGGATAATTTCTCCTGTATCTTAGGCTAGTCTTAGACTTTATGTAGCTGAGGATGACCGTAAATATTTAATCCTCCTGCCTTTCCCTCTGAAGTACTGTAACTGCAGGTGTGTCCCAGCATGCCTGGTTTCTGCAGGACTTCCTGGATGTCAGACTAGTTCTATTTCAACTGAACACTTGTCCCTTTTATTTGTTTTGGACAGGATTCTGCTACTGTAACTCAGGCTGTCCTTGAGCTCTTGGGGATGTCCCTGCCTCAGACTCTCAAGTGCTGGGATTACAGGAATGAATCACCACGCTGAGTCCCCAATTCTTTAAATTTTTAAAAGAGCAGTGTACATATAAAAATATCAGCCACTTTGAAATGAAAGGCAAAGGTGTGTGTGTGTGTGTGTTGTGTTTCTGGGAGTACATTAGATAAAACCCAAGTTACAAACAAGTGGGCAAAGCCAAGTAAGAGTTTATTCTCTCTAGGGACTGGGCTACAAATAATATGCCTTCACATATCAAAAATGTATTTTCTGGGTTTATGTGAGAGTTTGTGCAAGTCTAGAGGTTAAGGGAAGGGAATTGTGAGTTAGGGACAGCTTGGACTATGTAAGAAGAGCTGTATCTTAAAAAACTGTATTGGAAACACACAGATACACTCATATATTTGGGCATCAAAAAATTAACCACTGAAAAATGTTAGGATTGTTTGTGACTGAGCATGGTAACGCTTGTAATCCCAGCCCCAAGGAGATTCAGACAGGAGAATTGCTATGAATTTGAGAGAAACCATCTGTCAAAAAACAGACAAAATGCCTTGTTTTTTTACATGATACATACTTGTAATCCCAATCCCAGCAACAGGGAGGTAGGCAAGGATTAGGAATTCAAGGTTACCTATACTATAAAGCCAGTCCCAGACTTAAACAAAGCAGAAAAAGAAGCCCTGTTGGAAGCAAGTAAATGCCTCAGGATGTCTCAGAATTACTGGATGCATGTCTGCCTTTTGTTTGTTTATTAATTACTTAATTGTTTACTTATTTTATTGTGGTTTAAAAATATCCTTTGCAGTATTTGAGGCACAGGCCATGTTTGATATAAAGTCCATTCTTTTAAAATGCCTTTTAATCCCTACAGTAATCTATGTTTTCTCCCTGTAAGGCAGGAAAAGTTAAGCCAGTTGGATACAGAGTTGCAACCTGTTTGACGGAAAAACTTCCCAGGGTGAGCACTTCCCAGTCTTTCTTTGTACCTTGAGTAAGAGCTGCAGGAGACTGAACTGTCTTTCTCGTGAACTAGTGCACAGATTTAATGCGGTCAATTTTGAACTTCTATTATATTTTATTGTATTTTGAAGATGTCTGTTGATTTTGTTCAAGAAAATGAAAAAGTTTACATTTCCTGTAGTTTACCAGAAAAACTCTAGGCTTCAATGTGTATCAGTAGGAATAATGAGATGAGCTGTAACCTGAATATTGCCTGTTTATACATAGACACAGACACACACACCTGCATGGATATATGCCACGTATATTCAGGGAGCCATGGAGGCCAGAAAAGGGCATTAAATCATTTGGAGCTGAAATGGTAGGTGGTTATGTCTGAGCACCTGATCCATCTCCAGCCCCTTAAATTATAATCTTAAAAAGTATTTTGAAGTTGAGTTTTATTTTATGTGTATAAGTGTTTTGTCTACATTTATGGCTGTGTACCATGCATGTGCCTGGTGCTTACAGAGGTCAGAAAAGATTGCCAGATCTTTTGGAACTGGAGTCACAGAGTTCTGAACCACCATATGGATGCTGGAATGGAATCTGGGTCCTCTGTAAGAATAACAGTACTTTTCATGACCAAGCCATCTCTTCAGCCCCTCAAACTATAATGTTTAAAGTACTGTATTTTCATCAGTAAACAGATTTTAAGGAACATGTCCTCATTTGGGGATGATGTTCAGAGAAGTTGAATTGGTGTTTTAGAACTTGTGCTTTATGGTCTTATTTCCTTGTCTTACCCTTTCCAGCTTACTACTCCCCCAGAGGCAAAGAAATATTTCAATTTCAGATATCCACCTCCTGGAGAAGAAAGAGTATTTTATGGCAGAGCAAATGATCCCCAAATTGCACCTTACTTGACACATGGAATAAGATCTAAAATTTCAATGCCGGTAAATCTTTCTTTTTTTTTCCTTATTAATTTACATTGTATTATTAATTTACCAAGTTAGAAAGTTGTACAAATAAAGGTATAAGTGAAATTCATAATTCCTGTGGGTATTTTCTTTCCTCATTATGTCCTCTAAAAATGCTAATCTTGGCCAATGAACTGGGTTTTCAACCAGCAGCAACTAAGAATGTGTGAAAGAAACAGCAGTTAAGCCGTAAACTTAACTGTTCCTCAGATGGTATGAGGCGGTGGCGTCCCATTTCCCCAGTAAAGAGAAATGTCACACCTTGTTAGCCTTTAAGAGAACAGAACTGGCTGGTCTTACCCAGAGGCACAATAGAGAGTCCTGAGTGGACACGGGATCTGAAAGTATTTGGTACTGGCTGCCTGGTTATCATTGTCTAGCTTTATGACTTTCCAGTCATCTGTCTTCTATATCTGTCATCTGCCTTTTATTTAATTTTTTGGTGAGTCTAAAGCTGGAACTCAGGGTCTTATGTGAGCTGGCTATACACTACTTACTATTGAAGCCAATCACCAACCTTCTATTTGATCACTGGTTAATCTATTTTTTTTTGTCTGTTTGTTTAAAAACCTTTTACCACATTTGTGTGTAAGTTTGTGAGTGTGTGTGTGCATACATGTGCTACAGCGTGAGTGGAGTACATGCATGGAGGTCAGATGAGAACTTGGGGAAGTCAATTTTTTTTCTCCCATCAAGTGATTTCTGGGAAATAAGCACTGATCTTCAGTCTTGGCAACAAGCTCCCTTACCTTTAAAAAATTAATTAATTAATTAATTAATAGTTAGGTGTGTGTCACTGTAGGTGTGTGATATGTGTGTGGGCATGCATGTAGGGATCCTGGTGATCAAACTTAAATTGGCAGGTTTTTGTGACAAGTACTTTTATGTAATACGCTTTCTTGTGGGGATCACCAGTCTACAAATAATGACATGGAAACTTTAGCTTATGTTGTCTCACTAGCTCTTATAACATAAATAAACACATTTATATTAATCTTCATTTTGTCTCATGTCTTTTTACCTTTCTTTCATTCTATATGTCTGGTCTCAACCCCTTCCCCACATTGGCATCTCCTCTCCAGCTTGATTATCTCCTTCTTTTACTTCTTTTCTCTGTCTGGAAGTCTCACCCTTCCTATCTAGCTATTGGATGTTCATCTCTTTATTAAGCCAATCATAACAATATATCTTCACAAGGTGTATAGATATCCCACAACACCTTTACTTGCTACTGCATCTCTAAGGCCCTTTTTTTGTTTGTTTTTGAGATAATGTACTGTGTCCAGCATCTCTCTCTTCTTTCTCTTCCTATCTCCCTGTTTCTTGCTTCCTATCTTCTTATATTTTTCTGTATATTTGTTTTGTTTTGTGACAGGGTTTCTCTGTGTAGCCTTGGCTGTCCTGGAACTAACGTTGTAGACCAGGCTAGCCTCGAGCTCAGAACCACGTGCCCGTCTCCCGAGTGCTGGGACTAAAGACATATGCCACCATGCCCTGGTGCTTTCTATTGTTTTTATCTTTTGTTATTTGTATTTTTTTTTTTTACTCTGTAGTCCAGGCTGGTCTCAATCTTCCTGTTTATACTACCCAAGTGCCGGATTACAGTATTACAGTGTATTACAGTACTGTGTCATCAAGCCCAATCTGGGATCCATATGGTTTGTTCCCTGTGAGTGTCATGCCTGCTGTTCTTGAGTGTTTGAGTCAATTTACTTGGGAACTCCTCACATAAGCCTTTTAGTATCACTGTAGACTTTTAAAGTACTTTAAAAGATTTTATTTATTTACTTATTTATTTAGTACTGAGGATAGAACCCATGGTCTTGTGACTGTAGGTAAGAACTATGTTGTTGAGCTATGTCTCTATATCTTTTTCTTTCTCTTTCTTTCTTTTTTTCTGAATCTAGTGCATGAACTTACAGTACTTTAATACTGAATCATATCTCCATCTGGCCTTGAACTCTCTCTGTAGCCTAGTCCATCCTGGATCTTGGTATCCTGGTGCTTCAGTTCCCCCAAGAACTGAGATTATGGGTCTTAGCTGAATGTTCTAGATTTGGTATGTTAAAATTTTCATTACTAATTTTGACGGTTCATAGGAAGGTGAGCAAAGCCAAAGATGATGGCGAGATATCACTTTAATCATATTTTGTTCTCTTTTCATTTTTACATATACTTGTTTTGATACTTATAAATTATATAATTTCTTTAGGTGAGCACATTGGTAAACCCACAGCCCATTACCACATTTCAACAGAAAATTAAAGACAAAAAAGAATCTATATATTTTAGCAATCAACGGGCACCACTGGGAAAATCTCATGATCAAACACCAGGATTGCCTAAAGGAATGGATGTAATCAACGCAACATTTGGGACACCAATTATCAGAGGTAGTAAAACTAAGGGGTGGGAGGAGGTGGGAAAATATGTTGTATAAAATTGGATCAGGTATGTCACTTGTATATTTTTTGTTGATGGTATGAAGAATTGTTAAGAATGAAAGATGTGACCAGGCACAGGTGGTGGCACATGCCTTTAACCCTAGCACTCGGGAGGCAGAGGTAGGCGGATCTCTGTTGATCCTGAGGCCAGCTTGGTGTATAGAATGAGTTCCAGGACAGTCAGAAGGTTTATTACACAGAGAAACCCTGTCTCAACACCCCCACCAAAAAATAAAAATAAAATAAAATAAAATAAAATAAGAATGAAAGCTGCTCATTATCTTGAAACATGCTCTGTTTTCTGGTTGGATCATTCTCATCATTAGCTAGCCTTGTTTATGGTGAACTTTACATCCTCTTTATCCCTAACCACAAGCCCAATTTTGCATCTTTGCAGGGTAAAATCTCACTACCTAAACATACACATCTCCCAACTTCTTAGTATAATGGTAGTCCTGACTCACTTAAAAATCAAAGCTGACATTAGAGTTGGACGGTGACTCTATTTCTCTAAACCTGAGTATGTTGTTAAAAAAGAAAATAATATGAGTTTCTGTCTCATATCAGGAGCTACCTGTTGTGGGACAGATCTCCCTATACCTATTTTTGACTCTATGGTACTTTTCTTTAAACACATGTCTGGGGCTGGAGAGATGTCTCAGAGATTAAGAGCACTGACTGCTCTTCCAGAGGTCCTGAGTTCAATTCCCAGCAACCACATGGTGGCTCACAGCCATCTGTAATGAGATTTGGTGCCCTCTTCTGGCCAGCAAGCACACACACAGACAGAATACTGTATACATAATAAATAAATAAATAAATCTTTTTTTTTTAAAAAAAAAACCCCACATGTCTGTCTATAGGAATTCAAAGTTTCCGTTTTGATATGAATAATGTTTAAATTTTCCACAATGAACAATACATTTTCTAGAGTAATCTTTGAAGTCTTAAGGAAGAAGATGGGTTCCCACAACAATGATTTCACCTGGTTCATATGATGTCATTATGCTGACAGCACCACTCTAAGATTGGTTTTGGGCTACAAACTGCTCAAGATGACTCCAAAGCGGCTAGCTGACATAGTGCACCTTCTTACAACATTCTGTCCAGAACTTCAAATAAGAACTTAAAAAACAAAAACCCTACCAACTACTCAGATACTATCTGCAATTGTATCAGACAGTAATTGTAAAATTTAACCATCATTTAAGTTTTTATAGGATCCCATAGACTTAACATCACCCCCAAGACAATGGGAAATAATTCCAGAAAATGACATCTCCTCTCCTAACAAAATTTGTCCTCAGGGTTAGGGACAGTTGCCGTCTGCTAGGGGTTGGTTATAAGTTGTATATGGTTGGGGGTAGAAATGAAGTAGGCTCAGGGATCCCTTTTGAAAAAAAGGAATAGATGTGAAAGGAATTTTAGGTAAATTAGTGTATCTACTTGTAATCTATTAGTTATAGACAATTTACATTGGTATAGATTCTTGTATATTGATACAAATTCAAATTATATTTGTTATATTTAATATGCTCCCATTTCTGTTTACAATATTTGTGCATATATGTAAAGTTATTATGTCATATTGTATGCACGCATGTTTATACCTCTGCTTAAGATATTTTGTATATTGATGCAATATTAGGATATTTATCATATTGCATTTCTATCTCTGATCAAGATATTTATATACATTATTTACAGTTTGAGGTCATTGTCCTCATTTGTTGCACATTTATTTAAAGATTATTTAATTATAGTTTTTAAGCTATATAGGTGTTAAAAATTACAGGTCAATAGTCACCCATGTTTATCATACTTAAAGTTAGACTAGTCAGGTTCTCTAGATGCACAGAGGTTGTATTCTGCATGGATAGGTAATCTTCAAACACTTCAAGGAACTGTAGAGAATGACATTTTAATAACTCAGGATTCTGTTGCTGTGAGATACAATTGCTCCCGGCAACACCGATTACTCTCAAGAGAATGATGGGCACCAAAGACACTCTATTTGGAGCTTGTTTTCTTCTAGGCAAAATGGGTATTTGGGCAAAAGAACTGCCCTTGCCTTGATTACTGACAAAATGCATAGTGTCTAATCTGGACAAAAAGGATACAAGCAAAAACGACTGCTTAACCTTGCCAAGATAGGGTAAAATAGTCTTTCAAATTTTCTTGCCTCTGAAAAGGGTCTGTTATATACTGTAAGACTTAGCCAAAGTTGGTTGCCCCAATGTTGAAAATGAGACGTTGGTTGATTGCCCAAGTAACTGGTTATCTCTGTCATTTCTTGCACCATTTGGAAGTTGCTTGATGTACTTCCTGCTTACTCAGTTAATATTATTTCAATTCTCAGGTCTTTGATGGGGTTGAAGACTAGATATTCAAAGTTACTTTTCTCTCATGACTTAGCCAAGCCATTTTTAATATAAGACTTAGACTTCTCAGGGTAGAATAACTATTGAAATAATCTATGCTATTTGCTAATTACCTGAGACTGTACATCTCATATGCTTCTTGCTTGATATTGTTCATGCTGGTTGTTGTTCTAATTTTTTTTCATATTGTTGCCTCTTCTTATTGTCTGAACAACACTTAATATTTGTTCTTATTGTCAATAGTATTTTTTTAATTATAAATGCTTGGCTGATAGCTTAGACTTGTTACTAACTGTTATTCTTTTGGTTTGGTCCCTTTAAGGGCAAGCCTGCCCCCCTGGGGATCTTGCAGGGACCCACAGCTGTCCTTGTTGGACTAGCGGCTGCTCTGCGAGCCTGCCGGGGAACATGCCAGCATTATATTTTTTAACAACAACACTGACCCTTTTTTCCCTTTTCTAATTGATTTTTATTGAGCTCTATGTTTTTCTCTGCTCCCTTCCCTGATTCTTCCCTTTCCCCCTCCACCCTCCCCCAAGGTCCCCAAGCTCCCAATTTACTCAGGAGATCTTATCTTTTTCTACTTTCTACTCCCCATGTTGATTAGATCTATGTAAGTCTCTCTTAGTGTCCTCATTGTTGTCTAAGTTCTCTGGAATTGTGATTTGCAGGCTGGCTTTCTTTGCTTTATGTTTAAAAACCACCTATGAGTGAGTACAAGTGATAATTGTCTTTCTGTGTCTCGGTTACCTCACTAAAAATAATGTTTTCCAGCTCCATTCACTTTCCTGCAAAATTCAAGATTTTTTTTCTGCTGTGTAGAACTCTATTGTGTAAATGTACCGCATTTTCCTTATCCATTCTTTGGTTGAGGGGCATTTAGGTTGTTTCCAGGTTCTGGCCATGACAAACAAAGCTGCTATGAACATAGTTGAATACATGTCCTTGTGGCACGATTGAGCATCCTTTGGATATATACCCCAAAGTGGTATTACTGGGTCTTGAGAAAGGTTGTTTCTTAATTTTCTGAGAAATTGCCACACTGACATCCAAAGGGGTTGTACCAGCTTGCATTCCCACCAGCAAGTAATGCGGAAGTGTTCCCTTTTCCCCACAACCTCTCCAGCATAAGTTGTCATCAGTGTTTTTGATCTTGGCCATTCTTACAGGAGTAAGATGGAATCTCAGAGTTGTTTTGATTTGCATTTCTCTGATGACTAAGGATGTTGAACATTTCCTTAAGTGTCTTTCAGCCATTTTAGATTCCTCTGTTGAGAGTTCTATATTTAGGTCTGTACTCCATTTCTTAATTGGGTTCGAAGATGTATGGATTGATATCTTCTGTTAGGTTCCATTGGTCCTCCTGTCTGTTCTTATGCCAATTTACTTTTTCATATGAAGTTGAGTACTGTTCTTTCAAGGTCTTTGAAGAATTTTGCTGGGATTTTGCTGGGCATTGCATTGAATCGAATCTCTAGATTGCTTTTGGTAAGATTGCCATTTTTACTATGTTAATTCTATCTACCCAAGAGCATGGGAGATCTTTCTACTTTCTGGTGTCTTCTTTAATTTCTTTCTTCAAAGATTTAAAGTTCTTGTCATACAAGTCTTTCACTTGTTTGGTTTGAGTTACTCTGAAATATTTTATGCTACTTGTGGAATTGTGAAGGGTATTGATTCTCTGATTTCTTCCCCAGCCCTTTATCATCTGTGTACAGGAGGGCTACTGATTTTTTTTGATTTAATCTTGTATCCTGCTACATTACTGAAAGTGTTTATGAGTTGTAGAAGTTCCTTGGTAGAATTTTTGAGATTGCTTATGTAAACTATCGTATAGTCAGCAAACAGTGAGAGTTTGACTTCTTCCTTTCCAATTTGTATCCCATTGATCTCCCTTTGGTGTCTTATTGTCCTAGCTAGGAATTCAAGAACTACATTGAATAAATATGGAGAGAGTGAACAACCTTGTTTTTTTCCCTAATTTCAGTGAAATCGCTGGGAGTTTCTCTCCATTTTGTTTGATGTTGGCTGTTGGCGTGCTGTATATTGCCTCTATTATGTTTAGGTATGTTCCTTGTATTCCTGCTCTCTCCAAAACCTTCCTCCTGAAGGGATGTTGCTTTTTGTCAAAAGCTTTTGCAGCATCTAATGAGATGATCATGTGGCTTTTATTTTTCAGTTTATTTATATGGTGGATTACATTGACAGATTTTCATGTGTTGAACCATCCCTGCATCTCTGGGATGAAGCTGACTTGATCTTGGTGAATGATGGTTCTGATGTGTTCTTGGATTCGAGTTGCTAGTATTTTATTTAGTATTTTTTGCATCAATATTCATCAGTGAGATTGCTCTGTAATTCTTTCTTAGTAATGTCTTTCTGTGGTTTGGGTAGCAGATAATTGTAGCCTCATATAAAGAGTTTAACAATGTTCCTTCTGTTTCTTTTGTGTGGAATAATTTAAGGAGTATTGGTCTTAGTTCTTCTTTGAAAATCTTGTAGAATTCTGAGCTGAAACCATCTGGTCATGGGCTTTTTCTTGTTTTGTTATTTTTGATGACTGTTTAT